CACAATACAACTATAATCGGTATAGCCAGAGGCAATAGTATTCAATAGGGCATACTAAACAAGCACAACTTCCCTTGCCACTCGCCCGTTGCGAAATCAACAACCAGACACAAAGGAAATCATGCCACAACTCCCACCCTTGCGACATTGTAGCGAAAACTAACCGTCAAACAAGTTCAAGTCTTTGAAACCTATCGAAACATTTCATCCGTTGGACAGTTGCAAGAAAACAAACCCCCGTCGAATTCAAAATCATACCGCAGTCCCCCAACGCTCAAACTTTCTCAACTCCCAAATTGAAGCCCCAAACCATCCACAATCAAGGACAAAGGGCAATCCTCCGTCAATGACAACTCACTATCCATAGTCAAAAAGGTAAAAGACAACCCCTGGCCAACGCTGCCTCGCTAATCAAACAATGCCACCACCAACAAACTCGCCAACCCACAACCAAATACGAAATCCCAATCCCCCATCAACAGCAAAACAACTCGCTAATCCACAGCCAGAAGATGAAATACAATCCTCCGTCAACGTTACCTCGCTAATCAGGAAACGACTTCCCCCTTGTCAAAACAGGAAATAGCCCGACTCCGTTCCCTATACACCGCCAGGAAACCACCCGCTCGTTCACAACAACTCCCCGCGGTGAAAAGTCCGCGGCCAAAAATCCGTAATCAAACCGTTCGTCATCTCTGCTCCCCACTTCACCTTGAATACCATCCATCATTCAACCTGATGGATACCATGTCCTGTTCAGGAGAGCTTCACGTTAACCAATTCCGTGCTTAACTTCCTACAAGATGCCATGTCCAGCTCAACCCACATTAGCCAATGCTCTATCCAATTCCCCAATTCATGTCATGTCCTATTCAGAACTTGACATTAGATTCCATGCTCAACTTCCTACCAGATGTCATGTCCAACTCCCCAACAGATAGCATGTTCAACATAATTTCGCATCAATCGATGCCATGCTCAACTCGATTTCACGTTAACATATTCTCTGCCCAACTTAAGTTCATATTGACCAGTGTCATATGTCCAACTCAACTCCCATTAACCCACCACAACACTCTACAAAGATGACCAGACACAACCATAATCAACCACCCCTTACCACATCATCAACAACATCAACAACAAGCCTCTACCCTCCCTCATCCAATTCACCCATCGTAAGATTCACGCTGACAAGCCCGTCTTTTAATAGACAACCGGTTATTGTGTACTACGGTATTCATTGATTTATATATATACGGTACCTAAAACACACACAAGGTATATTATCCTCCGCTCTACCCCAACCAACATATTAAAGTACACTCCAACTCACTGAACAGTCCATCAACAGCCCGTCAGAATCACACTCCCTCGTCATAACGCCGTGCCATGTCAATTCCCAAAGAAAAATAAATAGAAAGAAAAAGAGCCATAAAAGCGTAAAATCCCATCCAATGGTGGTTAAAAAAGGGTGATTTCTCGCCGTGGGATTCACCAGCCCCATTAAAGCGTTCGTTCGTAAAAAGTTAACAACTATAAAAAAACAATCAAAACAAACGCGCCAGTCAAGAGCCGCAGCCAGCTTAGTGCCGAGATGAGTAACGGTTCGTCGGCGAGTAAGGCATGTCGTAGCCGCTGGACTGGGCATAAGGATCTTCGGCGTAGGCGGTGCCACGACGCTCATCTTCCCCGAGGAGTTCCTTGACTTCCCAGTTGTTCATGCGAGTGCCGACGGAAAACTCGAGATCTTCCTTTGTGATGGAGTCCCAGTACTGTAAAAAAGAAGAAGCGAGTTAGCAACACGGCACACGATACACGCACGGGCTCGTAAAATCGGGACAAGTCTTCTTACCTTGTAGACCATCATGACGGCCAGCAGGTTGCAGATCGTGGCAAAGAACAGGCCGTCCAGGTAGTGGCTCACGGCAACGCAAATCTTGGAGCTGAAGGCATAGAGAATGACCTGGCCAGCGACAAAGAAGAAGATGCCAAAGGCAATGTCGCCCAGCGGCCACCTGTCCTGCAGCGTCCTGACGACAAGCAGAATCTGCATGCCAACGTAGACAAAGAGCTCAATGGCGTTGAGCAGGTACAGGACGACAAACAGACCAATGGTGTTGGTCGGGCCGATGCCCGCCCACCCCTTGAAAGTGGCCAGCGAGACGAGGAAGGAAACGGCAAAGGCGACGACGGAGCAGAGCCACAGCATCCACACGGACAGCGGCGTGCCGTCCTCGTACAGCTGGAAGCCCACGAAGCCATTGACCAGCAGACACGTCACGACGGCGCTGGTCAGGCCATTCTGGACGCTCGAAAAGTAGGGAAACGGCCCGCTGCCCGCAGGCACGACGCCGGCGTCGACGACGAGAGAGATGAAGGTGAGCAGCATGTAGAGGTAGAAGAAGGTCAAAATCTCCTTGCGGCCGACGGCGGTGAACTTGGAGCGCACGTGCAGGATCATGATGACGGTCATGACGAGGGCGCCAATGTGGGCAAAGGAGGCGGCGCCCTCAAAGATGATTGTGTTGGCCACCTCGATGTTGCGCGCGTAGCAGCTGGGCTCGATGCCGACGCGGCCAGACGACGACAGGACGGGGCCGACGGAGGCGCAGAGCGGCAGCGGCGTGTGCTCGCAGATGGACGTGAAGTCGCCAAAGCCGGACATGCTGGCGATGTTTCGTCAAACAGCGATTCGAGCTTGGTGATGTCGTCGAAAGCGTCGTTGTTGGAGGTTGAGGGTATCGTCGGTCGGTGGTCAAGTCGTTGGTCCGATGGTGTCGTACAAAGCTATCGCAAGCGCGCGGGAATAAACAAAAACAAACGAGCGTCGTCAAAAGCTCAGCAACAGTCTCCTATCATCCGTCTTTTGTTTTTCCCCCCAGCTGACCTCTCGATGCGACAAAAATAACTCCCAGCCGAAACCCCAAACAAGAACAAGGAAATTTATGCCACTTTTTCCGAGATCCCTCCCCCACGAAGATAAAAACGAGCGTCAGGTAGAAACGATTGACCGGGGGAAGTAAAAAAGGAAAAGGAAGAAGAAGAAAAGAAGAAACGCAAGTCGCTTGGTCTATGCGAATCCCTCAAAAGAGTCGTTTTACCTTCGGTTTCGACGGTGGTTTTGAGTCGAGCAGATTCCGGATACGAGGCCGCTGAGGAGGATGGAGAAGAAGGGCGCAAAAGAGAGAGACAAAGAAAGAAGAAGGTCGGGGGGGGGATTATGGGGGACCCACCAAGAGGGAAGGTGACTTGCGTGAATACGGGGAAACGGTCATCTTTGCAAAGTATCTTTTTTTTCTCTCTCTCTCTCTCTCTCTTCTATACGAGGTGCTGCAGGCGTATGATCAATAAGAAGCAGAATGGGTAAAGACAAGTGAATTATTTACAGGACAAGAGAATAGAACATCATCTTATTCACATGAACAGCCGATCGGACTCAATGCAGGTACATACATACACCACCTATGTTGTGCATGTTCTCCATTAATTACTCCCTTGATGCGATTCCATCGTCCATACTAAATCCATCCGCACAGTGGAGTTTGCCCAGCTGCTCATCACCACATTTCCTATTGGATCACCATTCACAAACATCAACAATAAACACCACGACATACAATGCGCAATCTCAAGTAAAAAAAAAAAAAAAAAAAACATCAATTAGAATCAAATACGTCCTCCGCCGTGTCAAATCATAATAGGTACTACTAAGGTAGTTTACCCTCATTCAGCATACACTGTACACACCCATTACCCTGCAGCAACACCAAAACAATAAAATACAGACATCTTCACTCTCCCTATCCAACATCACCCCTTGAATGAAACCAAAAAAAAAAATTCACACGCCCTTCAACAAAAAAGTCTACATCTCCCACCAAACCTAATTTCGCATATCCACCCCTTACCATCAAGCCGTTGGAAGTACTCCAATAATCGCATCTCCTCGTCACCAACACACTCACAATTCCATACATCACATCACATCTCACACAACCAATATCAAATACACATCATCGAGTCAAATGGCCCTCAAACAACGACCATCTCATTCACATTCACATTCTTCATCTCGCCTTTATAAAGCATTGCCAAAAAAAAAACAGCACATCTATAACCCATCCGATCCACTCATTCCCCAATGCTCAAAGGTAAAATAAAATGATCAAAACCATAAACCACGCGACATCGTAATGTAATGCCCGCTCTTGTCTTGTTTCCCCACGCCTAACCCGTGGTAATAGATAGGTATCATGAAATAAAAAAAAAACACTTAAAAAAGGGGGGAGGCTGAAAAACTGTCCGTGTGCAAATAACTACACACACAACCGCCACAAAAATCCCCATTCCAGCCAATCCTCGGGCCAACCGTTGTCATGTCAAATCTCCCTTTCTCCCTGTAAAAACCATGCCGATGCTCCTTCATGCATATTAATGAATAAAATAGCTTGATTAATAAAAACACACGTGAAAATGGAAATAAGAAGATGATAAAAAAAAAAGGCGGGCATAAAGGCATAAAACCACAAATGAAAATCAACTCCAGATTGAATGCCGTCTGGAGAGATGTTGACAGACAGGCATTTCCCCCCCTTATACCTCTTCGACCAGTGTGTACCATTTCTTCGTTTGTTGGACGGGGAGTCATAAAAAAGTCCGTCCAAAACCCAATCCCTAATGCCGGTTCCCTTAACCAACGCCCCAGAGCCATGCAAATCCATGTGCTGCATCCTGATGATGAGCAAAAGCTAAAGAGAAATGGAGAAAAAAATGAGAAGAATAAAAATAGCAAAGCAAGGCAATGTAAAATGAAAAACACTAAAAGTACAAAATGTGGAACAACCCCCAAAAAAGAAAGGAGGGAAAAAAAATACAAGGATGATGCTGAGACTCTCTGCAGAAAATGTCTTGGATCATCCTGCTCATGGAGCAAAAGCGGTGCAGATGTGGCTCCCATCCACCAACCAACCGCCGCAAAGGGAACATTGCAACCACGTCTAGGGTGCATACGGCACTTGCGGTGCGTGTTGCGAGAGGGACTGCTGGCCCCGGTTGTACACTATAAACTCGGGCACCACTCCCGTGCGCAAGTCGTTTCGCCGACCAAGAGGCTGGTAATGCATGTGCGTGGGCGGCACGGGCACCGCGAGGTGATACTGATCCAGCGAAGCCGACGGCGGCGGGTAGAGCAGCCGGTTGACGTGGCGGATGGGCTTGTAGGGACTGGCCCGCTGCTGCAGGTAGACGCTGGGCGAGTGCGAGATGGGCGTCAGGGCAATGGGCGTATGCATTCCCGAGGCGGCTCCGAACAGGGGCTCTGCCATGGGCGACGACGTGTAGGCAGAGGCGAGGCTCACCGGCGTGTGCTGGTGCTTGCTGGGCGTGGTGAAGGCCATCGACGGGTGGCTCTGCGGTGCTGCGCTGGGGAATCCGGCGGCGGGGACGCTCGTGGTCGATACCGGGGCGACTGTCGGTGGGTGGTAGGCCTCGTAGACTACGGGCGCGGCCGACGGCTGGTATGGCTGATAGACGGAGGACATGGCACGCATGCCGGTCTGCAGAGGCGGCAGAGAGACCATGTTCTGGTTGGCGTAGGGCGACTGGGGGGTGTAGCCGGTTGCCGGAGTGTAGCTGGCTGCTGCGATGTGGGCGGCAGATGGTGACGTATATCCATCCAATGGTGAAGTCGTAGTCGTCGTCGTCGTCGTCGATACCGCTGGGAAAGCAACCGGCTGCGAGGCTTGAGGCTGCGTCGTGACAATGGTGAGATGCGGCACGGGAAGCCTGCCCGACTCCGGGGCGGCCTTGGGCCAGGGCGCTCCGGCCATTGGGGCTCTGCGCATGATTCGTTTGGCTGGGTGGTCGATGGGTTCCGCGTCGGGACTGCGCTTTCGACAAACGGGCAGAGTCATGGTCGGCCTGGCAGCCAGGGGCGAGACGGGGTTGGCGTGGTACATGGCCCAGTTCTGAGCGTGTCTCGAAACAGGGGGCGAGTATGTCGTCACGGCGGCGGGAGCGAATGCTGGGTCGGCGGCTGGCAGCGTGACCGAGGTGGGCGAGACGAGGGGAGAGTGGAAGCTCCTGGAAGAGGGAGAGACGGCCAGGGGTGACGCTGGAACTCGGAGCGCCTGCTCGTAGTAGTCGCGGAAGCACGCCAACTTGGTCAACCAATCCTCCCACTCGTCCTTGGAGGCAAGAAGGTTGTATCGCATGTTGCTCAGAAACTCGACCTCCATGACGTGAATCTCGCCGACGCTGAAGCACGACACCTCGGCCCACGTCTTGTTGGTGTAGGTGTTGTCGTCGAGGACTGCAGGAGAGGCACGTTGTTAGCTGTTTGTTTGTTTGCTTTGCTCACTTGCGTGATGCCCCCCCTCCTGGAAGGAGAGATAGAGAGAGACATGGGGAAAGAGGGAAACCTTACATTTGTTGCCGAGCATGAGGGCCACCGTGAGCAATCGGTACTCGCTGCCCTCTCGGCCCTTGATCTGCGGCGTCGACAACTTGAGTCTGTAGATGAAGAGCAGCGCGAGCAGAATCACGTTCTGTGTAACCTGGGTGGTGGACAGCACGTTGTAGACCCATTTGCGGAACTGCTCGTTGGGCTTGGCCAGCTGGGCCAGTCGAGTGGTGAGCATGTTTGGCCGTGATCGGATCGTCTCTGCTTTCTTGAGGTGGTCAATGGATTCAAACCAAAAGAGGCACGTCATCTGGGGGAAAGTAAGTTAGCTATCAAAGCCCAGAGGTGGAGGGTCAAACAAGACAAAGAGCAGTGGAAGAGCTCGAGAAGTTGCTTGGAATTGCTGGATTCGACGAACCTGGGCTGCAAAGTCTGCCAAGCTGCCGCCGTTGGAGCTGATGCATCTCGGGATCTGGAGACTGTGGTAGATCAACGTCTCGGGGCTCCTCCGCGACGAGATGGCATCCTTGGCGGAAACCGACGAAGCAGGCGTCGCCGATTTGGTCGAGCGATCCGAGGGGGTGCCGTGAAGCGTGACGGCGCGCGACTGCGAGGCGGAACTCTGGGCGGTTTGGCTCTGCTGGGCGGGATATCGGTAGTACTGCGCAGCGGCATTCCTGGCATCGTGGGCACCGACGGCTGCTGAGGTCGAGGTCCTGGGGTGGGCAATTGACGAGGCGTAGGATCGCAGAGCGTGGCTGTCGTAGGCAGCGGGCGCCTGCTGGTACGTGGTGCTCATCTCGTCGACTGGAGGCGTCCTCAGGCCCAGGTGATGTCGAGGCTGGCGGTGGTGATGAGGACGATGCTGATGGTGCTGGAGATGGCGGTGCGCAACGTCGTGGTAGGAGAGCAGCTTGGACAGGTGAGGCAGTCGTCGAGAGTCGAAGGAGCTTGACGGTGACAAGGGCAGCTGGACAAGATGCGACGTCGAGGGCGCGGCCTTGACAGACATGGGGGAAGCACCTATGACGAGGTGAAGGGGCTCTTTTTTGAAGGTGGTGAGATTTTGCTGGTGGGCAGTGAAGAAGCGTCACTGCTTCGTTTACAGGCGGGTGATTTTTTAAAAGGAACGGCGGAGAAGAAGAAGAAAGGGAAAAGAGAAGAAAAAAACCCTCACGGAAGGCCTCTGCGTAGGAGATGAAGGATTGTGGGATTGTGGGAAGTAAGTGAGGTGAGGTGAGGCCAAGATGAAAAGGTGGACAGGAGCCGAGTTAAGTCCAGGCATGTACTGCTATTTACGAGTAGACGTCGATGCAGTGGGTGTAAGTGCAAGTGCAGTGAACAGTGGAGGAGGGTGTGGGTACAAGCGCATTGGCTGCAGGCGCGGGCAGCCGGCAAAGTACAGTACGGGTACGAGTTTGGTAGCGGTACTCGTACAACGGACCCCGGATTTATTTTGGGTGGCTGCTTGCGCTAGCGGTGGCTTCAGCGATGGAGTCTGAGAAGAGACCTGGACCGGGCCTGACTTGCTGGAGTCTCTGCACTGCACTGCACTGCACGGTCTCGCAAGCTTCGTTAGCATGAAAAAGGCAATCAAGGCACTTGGCACTAGACGGAGCCGGACCAGGCAAGGAACGCTGGCTGACATGCATCCCTAGCAGCCAATCCGTCCGTCCATGGGCCCGGCACAACTGAAGGCCGCTGGGGGAGGTACTTGTTGGGTTGGAAATGAGAAGGGGGGCGTGTGTGTGCGTGTGTGAGTGTGAGTGAGAGTGCGAGTGTGTTGCTGGTGTTTCCAGGAGAGGGAGAGCATTCAGTCATTCATTCACTTGAACACCACATTTAGTAGGTTTGATGGGAACAAAACATCAAGTACATTCAATACATGCTGAATCATGAACCCGCCCGGAAGACAGACGAGAGAGGGGGCCGCAAAAGGGCAAAAGGCGAACATGAACAAACGAACGACTTCAACATTGTAGTAATATTGATGTAAACGGCAAAGTTTCGCTTTCGGCGCTCCTTGTACCAGCTAGCCGGCGCAGGTGAATCCCAAAATCCATCCAATCCCAGACTTGGATCAGCATGATGCCCAAAAAAAAACGCCATAACCGCCGCCGCCGTGCTCTCCTCTCTTTTATTTTTATTTTGGTGGCTGCTGTCCGAACAGAAAAGAAACTTGTCGTGAACGAACCAACTTGTAATCCCAGCCCATCACGGAACCCAATCAGCGCATGGCAATTGGCTCCAGCCTGGCTGCACTGGCACGCTCACGCGGATGCTGGTACCTGCGCCGGGCGGTACCCACGCCGCGCAGGCATCACGCGGCGGGCGCAAGGTACCTCGGGGCCGTGGGTACATTTGGGTTTGGTCCAGCGGCGCTACGCAAGTGCCAAGGTGACGCCTTTTTTTTTTCTTTGCCTGGGTCTGAGTCTTGGTCTTTTTTGGGGGGAGTGAGAGAGTCCACTTTCAACTCGACCCCAAGCGCCAGATGTACGAGTACATGTACCTCTACTGTAAGAAGACGGAGCACAGCACAAGCATCCATAGCACGGTACGGTAACTCGTGTATTTCGACCATTTGCAGGGAGCGTCACCGAGGGCGAAAACAGTCGTGGGTTGGTTGGGCCTTTGCGAGGGGAGGGGCTTTTTCCCTTTCCCCATGTTCCTTTTTTTCTCGCATCTGGATGAATCTACTATATCTGTGCTTGGACGGTGCCGATATTTGACTTGTGTCAATCGTATACGAGTGGCGCTGCGGACACGACGCATGAGACAGGCGCCATTACGGGGGAGGATACGAGTCCAAGGTTCCAAGGCTGTTGGCCAGCCAGTGGACTGGACGGAGCAGGTACGGGTACGGCTGCATTACGAGTGCTTGTTGGAGGATCAATACCACTACGAGCAAATGTGCTCGTATGTACTACTAATGTACCCATCAACTTTGAGGCTCCCCCTGTGTGTTTAAACCACACCAAGTTTTCGCCCATCCATCCAATCCAATCCACCCAGTTGGTGCTTCAAACGGCGCCGGACGGATCCCTGTCGGTGCGTCGAGACATTAATCTGCTTGAGGATGGGATGCCCTCACTACTGCACTTGTGTGCGTGCATAGCAGGCACTGATGGATTAGTAGGTACAAAGTAACAAGTAAAAGTACATTACTGAGATGGCCCCAGACGTCGCATTGAACAACAGCGACCCAGTCACTCTACGATACTGTGCTGTAGCGTCTCAATAGCAGCGCCGTGGCTCGTCTGGATGAACTGCTTCCGCCCTCGAAAAGTCATTTGATGTCGGGTTCCAGGCTGGTTGAGTTGAAGCCCATCAAGTGTACTTTTCCACTACGCGTGCCGCCACTGAGGAGTCAAGGTAGGTAGCTCCGGCCCTATGTGTACCTTTTTGCGGGGTTCCTCTGCCCGACGGCCAAGGTACCTCGCACCAGCACGGTACTCGCACTCGTGCTCTACGCGACTGTGATGGCACTGGAGAGCTCTCGTGTGCGAGTACTGCGCTGTACCTGCTGAGCTGGGAGGTCACGCCGACGGTGGGCAGCACTCGAGTCCACGTCCCCTGCAGCAGGCCAGAACCAGAACCAGAACCAGAACCAGACCAGGGATCGTCCATTTCCAAGCACATTGGAAGGGAACCCGCACCCCTTTGACTCTTTCAACCCTTCCAGCGCTGGCCTCTAGCGGGCGAGGAGCCACATCCCTGCTGAGCCCAGCTGACACAGCGCCTGTGCTGGAACTGGAACCGCTACTGGAACCGCTACTGGAACTGGGACTGGGACTGGGACTGGAACCGGAACACCCGCCCTCAAGTCGTTGAAATCATCAATGTATGTCAATCAGTCACCCGGTCCCCCCTTCTAGTTGTTTGGTTCATGTTCCTTTTCGCCGCAAAAGGAGAACAAAGAGGGGCGATCCTCTTGATTTGATTTGGGGGCTTTTTTTCTTGTCTTCTCTTGTCCCCAACTTTTCTTCTTCTTTTCTTTTGGTAACCAAGCCTTTTCGCCCTGGATAATACTGTATGGATGTTCAGGTCCCCTCGAAATGCTTAATAGCGGCACCCCGGGCGACCCCCTGCAAAAGCCAGCCCACAGGCGCTTTCAACATCCATCACAGCGTGTGCTAAAACCGCAAAGTGCCCATGGGATGAGCAATCAATACGGGACGGACATGCTCTGGAGACTTGGATGGAGCTGGCAAGGCGGCTAGTGCCAAGTTGTTGCAGGCACGGCATGGGGGACAAAGAGGCGATACTCGGTGGACTGGATGGTTTGATTCGATTTGCGTCGCTCTGACCGAGGTCATTCATCCCCCCGAAAATAGGAGATGACGGCGTCTAAATGATGGAATTGCGTAACGTGAATCATAAAAGCAATCAATCCATAAGACAAAGACAAAGAAGCTTGAACGAGGGCGGCGTCGCCGGGGCTGAGGCTTTCAAACTTTTAATTTTTTATTTTTTTTTGCCTCAGAAAAAGCGGTATCAAATCTCATGTGTACTTTGTGCCAATCTACACGCAAAGTTCGACCTGCTGCTGCTGCTAGTCCCCCAAGGGATTTGGCTTTTCCGGGCCTACCTAAACTAACGCGCTTTAAAGGTGTCCATTTTACCGCCTTTTTTGATAGGACAGGCGCGAGAAAAAAAGAAGAAAAAAAGGCTGCAACACGGTCCTGGATCCCCGGGCTTGATCCATTTCGATACGGCACGCGCAAGGGCCCAGACAAAAGAGGAGGAGGGGGGAAACAAGGCCAAAAAATGCAAATGAAGAGAATAGTCGCGAAAAAAAAAAAGGGTCCATGTTGCTAAAACTCCGTTAGCGAGGCGTCAACTGCCTGCATTCGTCGAATATCCAGTACGACCACTTTGTTCACTTTACTGCGGGTGTTGTACAGCTACATGTATCCGTATCTACTTGCATGGCAGGCATTATACAAGTAGCAAAGCTGTGCAGTGATGGATGAATAACACATCAAGTGCACTCGTGGATAATACTGCCGTTGGCTAAAGCGAGGGAAACAAACACTAGCAAACAATCAACGACACTCGTACTTTGCAGCCTCCACTTGGAAATGGCCTCGCCAGCAACCGGGCTCAGGTCGTGTCGTGTTCCGCGCCTCCCATCCGATGCACCAAAAGAACCGGACGGATGACGGACGGCTGTGCTGTGCTGTGCAAGCAATTATCGTATCGTATCGTATCGTACGTTTTGCCATCCATACTGTACCTGCTCGGTCTTGTAATAAAATGATGCCCATCCTGATCTAGCTCCCTTCCGGGGCAACATCACGAAAAAGAAAAGAATAAAAAGCTTCGTGGGCCAACTTACAGCGTCTCCGCGGCCCGGCTTGGCTTGAATCACGAGGCTCTGACCGGCCACTGCTCCGTACAGGTTCTGGTCTAACTGTCCACCTACTCGTACACGCACAGGCATGGATGACTTTCTTTGCAATCGATCCCCCGATCCGCGTCAGCCAGCCCCTGCGTGGAGCGGATACAAAAGCATAGCGCCAGGGCTTGCGGGTTGCTGATGACATTGGAACCAAGAGGGTGCAAGTAGCTTGTGGCCTTGCATCGTGTGAGAGGGTACCTGTATCTTTTTGTTTTGTTTTGTTTTCCATTCCAAGACGTAAAAAACAACAACAAAAAAACACACGCATTGAATATTGAAAATCTACAACGCTGTTGTGCAAAGTATTTGCTGTACAACGGGCACGGCAGTAAAAATGGTACTTACCGCGTGGGACGGACTTGATGCTCACATCTCCAGTGTAAAGTGCTCGCATGCAACGACGACTAGACCCAGCACTTGTTCCGGAAAGGGACGGGCGATGCTACAAAGTTGCTGGGGGGGGGGCCGACGAGTCCAGTAGTAAATAGCGCTGAATGAGAGACACTGAACCAACAAAGAAAGACGGTTTGAATCAAACAGGCATCTTGTCTCTTTTCCCCCTCTCTACGAGTACACTGCACGAGGAGAAGACACGCCCCCCCTTCAATATC